ACAACAAATGTACAAATGTGCTTGACACAATGGATGTGTGTATGGATTGTGATAAGAGTTGTACAAGCCCCAATAAAATGATTTAAAAATAAAAACAGTAACTATTATGTTCAAATGGTTCTAGAAAATGAGCTTCTGTGAAAACATAAAGCAATATAAAATATAAAAAAATCAACACCCTGTCCTTTGATTTCCCTTGTAATCCATTTAAATTTGTTAGTTTTTAATAGTCTCTGATTTCTTCTTTATTGTGGTTTTTCATCTGTTTTACTTTGTTATTGTTGTTTGTTGTTTTTGTTTCTTTTTAAATGTTTTTCTGTCTAAGAAATCCAGGATAGGTACATGTATAGAAAGAGCAACTGGATGAATAGATTTCTTGGGTTAGGGCAGGTGATGGTGAGGGGAAATTGGGAGTGAGGACAAGAAGGAAGGAAATGTTCTAAAGCTGATGGTGATGACTGTATAACTCTTCTTGATGTGGCTGAACTATGGAATTGTACGACATGTGAATTACATGCCGATAAAATGTTTGGACAAAAACCAAAACCAAACCAAATGGCGAGCTATACAATTTCTGTGTATTGTTTCAGCTGAAATTGATTATGTCTTATAAAAATACCTCCTTGGTTCATTATCACCGCCAATTTTCTGTGAGTCCAGTTTCCATGTATCACTGTCCTACAAAGAGAAACCACTAAGCTAATTTACTGTGAGAACCGGTCAGTGAGCTCCTGTCCGAGCGGTCATTTGTCCCCAACCAAAGCAAGGCTTCACTTGCAGGCCCGCACGTGCGCTTGTCGCGAACACCCACTGCTGTCTTTGGGGACGGTGGTGGTGCTGGAGCCACCGGTTTGGTCGCAGTTTCAGGTGTTGTAGCTGCAACATTGTGGTAAGGAGTATTTGTGAACCTGCATCAGTAATGGTTTTGAGAATGAAAAAATAAAGAAAAAGCAGGAAAGTAAAAAAAAAGACGTTTGCTCAGTTACTAATGCCATCATAATTAAGAACATTATGATTCGATGTAAATCGCTCGTGCATGACACATTTTGTTATTGGGAATCATATAATCTAAAGAATAGTACACTTAAGCCATTTACAAGTACATTTGTCACCTATAATTCTATGATTACACTGTTAAGAAACATTCTGAGGAATTCTGCAGGGTCTAGTACGAGAGGATGCTCACACAGGGGACAGTATGTCCTACAGGGTCACAATGAGATCACTGGGTGACAACACCCCTCTGGTGGCCCTGCTTCTTGCCTCCACTCTCTTCCCCTCCGCTCCCCTTCTCTTTCTTCCCCTCTTACCTTTATTTTTTAAGTCTATACTATAGGACAGTGGTTCTCCACCTGTGGGTCACGACCCCTTTGGGGGTCAAACGACCCTTTCACAGGGGTCGC